AATATTATATTTTGTGCATATTTTATTCAAATGTTGTGCTTTATCCATAGGACCTGTTTTGTCCCTATTCTCAAGAATCATATGGTTTCTTGAGTCTTAACAGAAAACACTATCTGACTCGATCTTTTTGCATGTCCCTATGGTAATGAGGAGGAGGGCAAAGATCAGTGAATCTAATTATTATGTGTTACTCTATTGATCCCCTTATGGAAATCCTCTTTTTGCTTACCCTTGTGAGAAGGCATGTCAGAGTCCTAGGTCAGCTTGAGAAGTGCACTCCAGAGGCTGCAACAGTTTCATTGTGAGATTCAAGGACTCTTCAGCCCTGTGAATGTGCTTAGGTTGAAACTAGGTAGAAGAAAAATGTTCATCCTTATGTGTTCTGCTGTGTTACATATAAACATGACTATTGAGCAACTTGTACTTAATGTGTTTCACAAACACAAGTAGAATAAACAGTGCTTACTTCTTAATATGATGTCATTTTGTAGTCCATTAATTTAACATCAATCCATTCCAATTGATCCGAGCTGTCAAACAATGCATTTAGGTTCATTTTAGAGTTCAAACTGGTTGAAAAAGGTTATCCAAGACAACTCAGCAGATTGTATCCAGTCGCAAACTTTCAGTATTCACTCCTGGATGAGTGTGCAGCGTCAGTAGACAATTGTTTGTGGTGTGTTGTTGACTTTACAGCAATCCCTCAGAACGATCATGTATGGGAACAGTGGAGAGAAATAACTTCCTCTTCTGCTGAAGAAACATTCACCAGAATAAAAACCTGACTCAGAATGAACAGCTGCTGTGACCGACTGGGGTTTGAGAAGACAGAGCCAACACCCAAAGAAGAAACAGAAGCCCTAATGCAGGAGTACTTTCTAAGTTAATAGCAGTAGTTTATTGGCTTCGGCTAAACTCTGAGTCAGTTTTCCCACGTTTAGAGAGAAAAAGAGTACATATAGTGAGCCTCAACAAAAGCTCAGCCAATAGCTTTGTCTAGGAGAGAGGCAAGGTTAAACCCTGAAGGACAGAGCAATGTGTATCATCTGTAGAAGGAGAACGTCAAGTTGTTGGCAGCAGCAGCTCAGCAAATGTCCCCCTCCAGGATGGTGTCACATCTACAAATGCCAGATCAGATGTATGTTCTATGAACAGGAACAAAAAAAGAAAAGAGAAGTTAAAAGCTTTAATGGCAGCAAATATTGCAAAATTGGCAAGAAGCAGGAGAATGTAGCAGAGTGAAAAGTGGTCAGTTTGTCCTCCAGTATCTGAAGCCTATAGCAGCATTCGAGATAGCTGCTTTAACAGTAAGGTTTATCGAAAAGGAAAGTTTTAGGCCCAGTATTAAAAGTAAACAATTCCAAACTAACCCTCATTTTAAGTTGAATATCTTTGTAATTTTTTAAATGGAAAATTAAAAGGGCAGGATGTATTTTCCAGGCATGGTAAGCTCAGTTCCACCAGGTGTTTGCTAATTACTGCTGCCACTAGTCTGTAGAAGCTGTGTGGGGGAGAACAGATATTCTGTGAGGAAGTAGGTGGCGCTTTGTGAGATCAAGCGTTCAGGCACCCCCGAATGGCTGACAAGTGAGATTAAAGGATTTCTCAAACATGCATGAAAGATTCAAAGCAAAACTCCTGGTATGTTTTTGATGAGGGAATAACATCATAACATTATATAAAGCCCCCTCTCTCCTCTGCTCTGCTCTCTCCTCCACAGACAACACTGGGTTTTGACACAAACAACTGAAATGAATTGTTCAAAAGTCGCGCAAGCAAGAAAAAAGTTGCAAGAGCAGAGTTGAGCATGAACAGCAACAGATTTGAGAAGTTGTGTGGTGCAGTGGAAAAAAAAATATATGTAAATGCAAAATGTCAGTTATAGTTTATTTTCTACAACTTTATATTTGGAGTTTGTTTGGAAAGTTTTTTGAAGGTGACATTTTTACTTAAAGCCTCCAATTGATTTTACATGCATGTAACTATTTGCTACAAGTAAATAGTGGTACAAATTCAAATATCCAACTGTGCAAATTGGCTCTGCAAATGATTTGAAACATATCTACCTCCATGAGATGTTGCTATTCAATTTTATTCTGTAGAATAAGGTTCAATATCTATTTAAAAATTCCACCTAGAAATTGGAATCTTCCGATTTTAGATACTGCTTAATGAGAAAAAAAAAATCTTAAAAGGAATTGTGCCTGTGTATTAATATGAACCATTTATACCAGCAGCACGGTGTGCACTTTACTCTGCTCTTGAGAGAATCTTCAATGTCAGTGTGACCATCTGCACTAATTTCTTTTAGTAATGAGTAAGATTGTAGTTTGTGCCCCACTCACGCACGCACTGCATCCCGCTTCCCCACCGCTGCAGTCTTTGTATCTTGCACTTCCACAATCCATGTGACTTCTCTCTCCGTCCTATACACGAACGCAAAACAGATAGTTTGCAGCTAATGGTTTTCACTCATTCACAGATAATGCTCAAACAGCAGGGTGTGGTTTTTGTTTCTGTCTGGGCTGGTGGCATCAGCGGAGGCACAGTGCTGCAGTCACAGCAGCAGGTAAATTGGTAATTAGTAATCCTGTCTATTTATCTCCCCTGCAGTGTGGCTGGATTCTCTCTCCCGGTGAATATGCATGGCAGCAGCTCGCTTCTCTGAACCTCTGGTTTTGGGTTGTTGCATGGCAGACTTAAATAAACCTGGCTGTGCCGCTTTTATTTAATGAGCCCAATTGAGTATTTTTTGTGAACTATTACTCCAAGTCTCTCTGTGGCATTTCTAGGATTCATTGTGTTTATGGAAAATTCACTCCTCACAACGTAAACCTGAAAATTGAATGGATTTACCATAATAAATGACTCCAGATTCCCCTAATTCCTCACTGAAGAAGAAGAGCACATCTGCTTAAGAAAAAAGAATGAGCCTAAGTGATTCAGGTAGATGTATCCTTTTCCTGCACTTAAAGATGTAATTCTAATGCTCGCTGAGTTTAGAATAATTCCCTACTCTGTTATTGATTTAACACATGTAATGTCAATTCTACTCATTTTCCCTGATAGCACTATAAAACTAAAGTGGCTCCAATAAAATGAATGAATTATACATCCTTGGGAAAAACAAAGAAATCCAGTCTAGTGGTTGACCTACAGGTTAATTTTGCAGGAACTAATGGTCATGTTTTAAAGAAGCATTCTTTTTTTCAATTTTCTGTCACAATATTTTCCTATATAATGTTTTATGTTTAACATCTTTTTATTAATCAATCCCAAAAGTAGAATGATTCGTAAAAACGTAGTTGGTTGTGAAGCATGGCTCAGTCTTGTCAGCTTATCCTATTCCTGATGAAGGCCAGTGTGGGCATGGGCTTTTTTTCCCCCACACTGTGTACAACACACAGAGCATCCACTTCTCTTAGTCTTTGCATACAAATAAGCATAGGAAAACTTCTTCAGGATGCAACTGACAGATGTCTCTTTTTCAAGTGCTTGCACCTTCTCCAACTGAATGGATTCTTGGGTGGTGAGCATGTCAAACTCTGACACCGACTGGTCCCTGTCATAATGGACTTTATGAAATAAAAACCCATGCTGCTGTGCTGAGAGGACGTGCTGAGCAGCTCTCCCAGTGGGATGGCACTTCAATCAGGGACCAGTTCACTGACCATGTGTCACTGTGGGAAATGTGGGGCCTACGTCTCTCCATCACGCTCCCTGCCGGTGACAGATGGTGGATCGCTGGCTCTTGGTGTCCAGAGCTGGGTATGTGCCGGCTCACCCCTGCTGACTGCTTGGTGGGACTGGGAGGCCTGGCTGTGTCGGGCCTTTGCTGGGAGAAGGAGTGCCTTTGGGGTTCAGGTTTCTGTGTCCATGACCGGATTTGCCTTTGAGTAGCTGGTTGCCGGCAGAGCCTGTGGGCTCATTGCTGCAGCCCCCTGAAGCTTCTGCATTGCAGCTGCTGGGAGGATCCTGAAGCCTCTCCTCTGCTCCGTTGTGGGGAACTGGGATACAGTTGCCTCCGCGCTCCGGGGTCTGTGGATCTCGTGGCTCACTATTGAACACTCTTATGGAAAAATCTTTTATACACGAACCTTAAGAACACACATCTTACTCTAAACCTAACTGTTACCAGTACATGCTTTAGCTTAAACCTCAATTCACTCCATTCACTCTTTAGTCTTAAACCTAACCCATAACCTCTTGGCTACTTAGGACTTAACGACTAATTTGCAAGCCTTTTAAAAATTCAGATGAATCGGAAGCGTGTGATATTCTATGAAGAAATCAAGCTAAAAGGCAGACAATAATCTGCATAGGTGAGCCTCAGCAAAAACCATCTGCACTTAGCCTGAAGGGCCGAAGCTGCAGTTACCAGCTGAGAGCGAGTCGTCAGCCTGGCCTAAGAGCCAAGGAGCATGGAGGGTGGGAGCCTCCTTGGCTGGAAGCTATCGATGGCCTCAAAATAGTTATTAAGACACAGTCATATATCAGACATCCTGTGCATTAAGCAACAATCCAAGAGACATTAAGCCAACTCTATCAGATTTTATAAAGACACTTAACAACTAGAACCTACAGAGACATAAAGCATATCATTGATAATACATCTAACCAAACACGATATGAAGCTTTTCTCTTGACCGTAATCTTCTTATTCATAGCGTCCATATTAATTTCATGAAATCATAAGAAATATTAATGGGTATTAATGTTTTAGGACCATGCTAATATTTTTTTTATGTTTTATCATTACATAAAAACCCCTATTTCAGAAATGACAGATGGGTTTTCTTTCCCCCCCCCCCAAATATTTCTGTTTTTTTAATATTAATATACAAATATGTATGTACTTTTCTCAAAGTTCATAAACAACGGAGAAAAGCAACCTCTCACAGATTAGAGTGAATGTAAAGAAAAGTGTGTATGACATCAGATAATATTTCACCGAGTGGATACCTTAAAATGTCCTCCATGTTTCGAAGCCCAAAAATGTACCGAGATTCATTTCCAGAAAGTTTATTGGTGTTAGTTGTTATCTAAATCAAAAATCAATGCAGTTATTTTGGGAACTCTATCCAGAGCAAAAATAGCCAAGAGGCCTGCAACGGCAAAAACGGCACGTGGAACCAAATGCCTCAGATCAATAGGTTAGTGAATTATTCATGGTATCCTGGTGCAGCACCACTCTGAAAAAACCCGGTGTGCAGCTTTCCTGAAGCTTTGCTTGATGTAACGTTTGGTTAGTACGAGCGCAGATTTGAATAGAACATTTGTTCTCATCAGCTTTTCATAATCCTTGAATATCTCCAGGGTTTTAAATGTTGCACCTGATGACAAGTGACAACCCTCTCCAATAATCAGAGTGATATTAAGCAACACTGGAGCAGCAGACAGCGACCAATGCATTTTTCAGAAAGTGCACTTGCCCACACAACAATAAGCACACTGTCTACAAGACACGTCTTTTAGGACTGTCTGGTCTAAATCCTTCAAGACAAGAGGATCGGAGCATGAAAGCAGAACCGGCTTATTATCGTGACAATCTCTCAACAGCCTTTATTTTAAACGACAACACATGCTGATGCCTTTTATAATTAAAACTCAAGTGGCTCGGTTTCATTTGTTTTTTCAGGCACGGCTGTTCATTCTCTTCCACTTTCATGGCTGTTCAAATTGATTTAACTTTTTAAAATTGTCGCTACAAAATAGGTTAGCTACTGCAATCACAAAAGTTCTAATTAAAAGCAAAACGCAAATATATTCATAATTATATTGCTGTCCTACCAGTTTCATGGCTGATGTTACTTTTAAGCTGGCAGGGGGGGGAAAGTAACCATGAGAGAGAATGAGAAAGAGAGAGTGAGGAGGAAAAGAAAGGGGAGGAGAAAGAGAAAGAAAAAAGCCCTTCAGTGTGATCTAATTAGCTGTCTACCACAGAGGACACTGTACTCCGACATGTTCCCTGTCACAGCATCAATTAGCTGACCAGATCTTTAACTCGGCATCAGGACACCTATTTTACACACATGCACACACACGCATTCACACACGCACACACTCCTCTTTCTAGCTTCATGGGGACTTTGCATTGACTTCCCTTTTTTTTTTTTTTTTTTTTTTCCTGAACCTTAACCCTAACTTTAAACCTAGCCATTGCCAGTTCATGTCTAACTCTACATTAAATTCACACCTTAGTCCTAAACCTACGTAATCCATAACCCCAAAACAACACCTCTTGTTATGGGAGCCAGGGTTTGGATGAGACTCTTCTCACAACATAGTATTGTTGGAAAAACGTTCCTCACACTAAATCAAACGTAACAAATCAGATGTAATACTTGACAACAGAAACGGCCATTCTCACATATTTACATCACACTTACTTTTCACCACCAAAACTGATTAGAACTCTTCACACCTCCTGACATTTTGATCAAATCAAACAGATGGCTTCTGGAAATGCCAACTAACAGTGTTATTTGATCAGTTGAGCTTTGACTTAAAATAAAACCAATCACTGCGAACATACAGTTGAGTTCACAAAGGATTCGTAGCAATCACAGCGTTTTGTTTCACATAGCCTGGTTTTAGAAATCTCTTACAAATACATATCTAAAAAGTATTGTGTGATTATGTGTGAAGCTCCATTCACTTTGATACCCATGAATAAAATGAAGTGTAATCGACTACTCTTAGTAGAAGTCACCTAATTAATAAGTGAGTCCACCTTTATATACTTTAATCCCAGTATAAATCCAGGTGTTGTGCGATGGTCTCAGAGGTTTAGTAGAGTACGCAAGTCATAAAAAGCCTCCAAAAATGTCAAGAAACACATGGGACAGTGCAGGAATAATGTTGTGTGGTAGTTAAAAGCACTGCTAGGCTACAGAATAATATCACAAAACTTTGAACGTCTACTCAATCCATTATTTTGAAATAATAAAAAAAAAAAACAGCTTGGTGTAAGTTCAAACCTAAAAAGACGTGACTGTTCACCTGAGCTGACAGGTTAGACAAGGAGAGCATTAAAGAGAGAAGCAGCCAAGAGGCCCATGATACCTCTGATGCATTCTGGTTGGATAAGAAAACCTGCATCAAAACGATGGTGTGTGTACATTCAGTCTGACAGAACTTTAATTGTTTTGATAAGAAGGATGGAGACACAATTTTGCCTCTTGATATGCAAAGCACGCAGAAACATACGTTTAGTTATAACTTCAAAGGATTCACACAGGGAAGCTGAATACAAATCTATAATTCAATTGATTAACAATACAGTTAATAAAGCTCAAGTCTTGTTACTAAAATGAATCTAGCAAAGTTTTATGCACCTTATTTCCCTCTCAGTACGATTCAGTTCTTCTTGTTTTTACTGTACTTGTAGCCAGGTCAGAGTGATCTCTTGGAGCCAACCATCCGC